GTGGTGGAGTCGTTTTTGAAATTTAGTTTTTTTTCTTCTCTTTTTTTATGCTTTTTTTATGCACGCGTGATAATGTGGAGGTACATTAGCTTTACCTAGGTCCGTCTGTCGATCTGTTGTTATTCTTTGTTAGTATGATACAAACTACATTTTCATTTATCATTTGAAATAAGATCGATATCAAAGGTTTGTCGTTGACCAATTGGCGAGATATTGCTTTTGATTTAGTTAAAACCTGTCAAATTCAGCTTACTAGCACACTAGATTATGGAGTAGTGGTTGATATTGACATACTTATATGACTTGATGAGATTCCTGTCATACCAGTCTGTAACAACGCTTCACGACCCCGCTTTTCTAGATAATGTCCAAAATAAACGCCGTGACACCGCGAATAATGGAGACCATTCGCCACTTCGGTGTGACGGGACCATTAGTCACAATAATGATGAGATCTCGAAGGAGTGCATGAATAAATTATTTCGCGAATTTATTATAAACGGTTGTTGAGTTATTGCCCTTTATTTACTATCTACCTTTAAAGGTTAAGATTTTCATTGAGAATGTAATTTGAATGTCAAGAAAATCAGAGATTAGAACTTCGATGAGAAAATGAAACTGAGAAGACTGCTTTGTTCTATATTTCAGGTGTGTTCCTTTAAATATTCAAATAACTAACAACGATTTTATACAAGGATAGAAAACTCTGGTTCGATATTCTTCAAGTTATCTTTTTAATCTTACGTCACTGATAAAATCGGGATGTTCAGTCAATATTAATTTTCCAATTATATTCTTGTTTCTTTTTTATCTGACTATCTTGACGTTTAGCCTTTGACTAAATTGGTTTCATTTTCCATATAATTGGCAATAACTTGAGCTGATCGAGAAAGGTGTTGAAGTTGGCACTATTTGGCAATATTTACCTCATTGGCTTGCTGCGTAGGGAATGTCAATAATTTACCAAATAATGATAGTAAAGTGACTAAATTCAGAAGACTACATCCCAATGCCATCTTTTCTTTCCTTTCGTTTCATTTTCCATATAATTGGCAATAACTTGAGCTGATCGAGAAAGGTGTTGAAGTTGGCACTAGTTCAACTTAGATTGTAGGAGAAACCACAAAACATACCAGAATATTGTCATAATTAAGACATGATGTGTTATTTAAATAAACAATATTTTTTCTAATAAAAAAATTAAATATCAAGAAACTGGGTTAAAGTAGAAATTTTCTTATATTTTTTAAAGTAAGTGATCTACATATACAATTTATGCAAAATATTGTTTTAAGCTTTATGGTTTTCAGTCCCAGCTACTAAACAAGTTGAAATTCGACACTTATAAGATATATATATCCACCTATTTGAAACTGTATTATTTCTAAAACCCGGACAAGATGCCTTACAACAATTAAATTAAATATTCTTTATAAGAAAGGAACATATTTTCTCAGTTATCATGAAATGTCGTTTTATAAAAGGGCCAAAGCCAATGTCTCTTAAAGGGATTGTAAAGAGGTTTTCTATTCTCATTTTTTAATTATCTGGAAATTCCACTAAAATGTTTTATGACGAATGGTCCATAGATATTATTAGCACCTTTTGCGATAGTGAAGTCATTATTTCAATAATCAGAACAATCAACAAGTATCTGACGATTCGTTGTTATCCGGATAACATATATTTACAACTTTATTGTTTAACGTACGATACTTTGGAAACATATGTAATAAAAACTAAACTATCATCTAACTGTAATGCAAAGGATGAAAAGAGACCACCAAGGAAAGCGCCTGTAACATCGATCTTTTGAAATAAGACCTTAAAGTTACGCCTACAACAGCTGTCAGACAGTTTGATTCTTACGGCACAAAGTGACTCCAAAAAGAAATTTTTAAAATATAATTTACACTTGCGACTTATAACTTATTCAATTAATAACCTATTCAATTCAATTTGTTTCCCAATTTACTTCTCAAAGTGAAAATATATAATAATCTACGTACAATTTGCGCCGTTTCCTCTGAAAATTCAGGTTTGTCTGTTCCCGGTGTCTTATGTTACAAGAAATCAAAAATCAAAAAATACTTGAGAGACCGACTTAATCTTAATCTTAAGTAACAATGTTTTATGGTAATTAATGTACATTGGGCATAAAAAAAAAGTTTTGCTGTTTCTTGAAATACTTATCAGTAATAGTAAATGATATAAAATAAAATTGAACATATAAATGAATCCTATGGAAATAATTATACTTGTTATGGAGTTAACACACATGTACGAAAATAATTTTTATAAAGAAAAATAGCAAATAATATTTACCTCATTGGCTTGCTGCGTAGGAAATGTCAATAATTTACCAAATAATGATAGTAAAGTGACCAAATTCAGAAGACTACATCCCAATGCCATCTTTGTCTTTCCTACCTTCCTGATACAAAATCTTCTCCCACCTTTCTGTTTAGATGGAAGATAGTGTTTGTGAGAAGTCTAGTCGTGCTGTATATAGTATGACGCGTTTTGTAAACCAGCAAGTTTGAATGATATTGATCCAGGAATATCATCATGGTAATTAACAACACCTAAATTAACTGTGAAAACACCACATCTTATTTTTGTTTTGACACCAATAATTAGATAACTGTCGTGTCCTTAAACTGGTAATTTTAAAATCAATTTTCATGTGAAATAATGTTCCTTTCGGCTCCTGTCAAGTTGCGTGTGAAGAAACTAAATTTATTTTCTAATACTGATACCTTTCTAGAAGAGAACTGAAAAAAATATGGTTTGAAATGTTTTGTCTGCTACAAAGTAGGATGGTCTGAAAATTACAGAAATAACTAAACAAAATATCAAATATTATGACTTTTGAATTTTGTTGTGAAGACATAAGGAACGATACGCTTGATATTTTCTGATCCATGGCATTATCAACCTGTTGTCGTCTGATTTCCTCCTGTCAACTAGACAGCTTAATCCTGTCAGGTAATAGTCTAGCTTTTGCCTTAAATTGTTCTAAATAGTAAACCATTAAGGGTGGACAAAATAGTGCTGTCAGCGTGTGAAAGTCTAATTACCTCAATCAAAAACATTAATTCGGGCAAAATGATCCTCATGAACAGTACCTGTCTTAAATTCAACATCCCGTTTGATTTAAATAACAAGGAATAATAGATATTAGTTGGACCGTAAAAGACGTAGGTCTAATTCAACCAAGCAAGCCAAGTTTCATCATAGGCAATTCATTGGAAATCAGATCGGTCTCAAAGTTTTCCAACAGCAATGCCTCTAGAAATTTTTGGCAAGGTATGCATCTATATGTGATACTATAGTGACGCAAGTGATATATTCGGAGGGGAAATGGGGAGTTGAGATGGTAGACCTTATCCCCAGACTTTTGTAACTGTTAGCCTTTAAACCTTCCAACTTGTGATTTGAGGTCCACCATTAGGTCCAATAAACAAGAATTTAATACTCTTACGTGTGTAGTATATAAATAGTACGTGCCTACATAATTTCACTCGAGAAATGTCAAATTCAAAGTGTAGAGTAAAATATTGAAAAACATGTTACTTGACTTGACAAGTCAAAATCCATTTGGAAGTTTATATTTTGGTCTTTTTGGTTTATATCTAGACAATCAATAGGGGAAATACTTGAATATTCATACCGCAATTGCTTTGATTGCTTAGGAAACATGTTTTTGGGCCCCAAAATCGTTTTGGTTTTGTCTTACATCTATTTTATTGGTATTAATTTTAGTGTCTTATTGCTTCCTATTGGCCTTATTACCCCTAAATTATACGAAACTATTGCTATTGTTTTGATACCGACGAAATTATTACGTATGCTAGGTTTGTCTCTTTTGTGAGAACAATGAAAATTACATTGAGTTACGACTTGCTTTTTTTGCTACTCAATAAAGGTGGATACCAACCTATACCCCTACTAACATTTTCGGTATTGTAATTAACTTCAAATAAAACTCTTTGATGTAGGCTGTCCTTCATTCTATCGAAAGTTTAGCTGCGCTTCTTTTCTACTTGAATTGTCCAGTATTTTGGAATTTTGACTTCTGCGAGGTGGTACCAAAAAACATTTGACAATCACTTAGGGCATATAAAAAGTGTGTAAAACCTTTAAGATTCTGTATTTGATTTCAATGTTGTTGCATAAGAATCCAAACTACATGTACTGAACATAATTGCAGTGTTACTACCAATCATATGCGGGTGTTTTTCTTATCATAATATAACATTTGTGATCAGTTCCCTGACGCTATCAATAAATATTCAGAAGGAGATGTCGTTAAAATGTTGAATTTTTTGATAGATAACATATTTGTCGAATTTGGTAGGCAGAGTAATCAGCAAGTAATCGGTATTCCTATTTGTGCTCTTTTACTTGCTGATTTATTTATTTGCTCTTATGAAGCAGAATTTATTCGAGGCCTCCATCGAGCAGTAAACTACTAGCCGTTTTCTTCACTTCCAGTTGGAAATTAAGGAAACCACTGAAATTGCTGAAATATGGTTGCTTGACACACAAACTTCATATGCCATGTAGGAAATTTTATGGCCGTTATGCAGAATTCCTTGATAAATACAATGTAGCTGTTTCTGGTATTTAGGCTGATTTTTTTGGTCAGACATGAATTGATCTGGTTGTATCTCGTGATTTTTATCATTGTGGTAGTGACGGGTGTCGTGCGCGATTTTGCCATACCTTGGACGAGATTTTGAATAACGGAATTGTCTTGCTTGTATGGATTTTTAAACATATTTTCATTAGTTTCGTCATTTGAACTTTTAAAATTCACCATTCAAGTCGCTATGTTTGTTGTTCGTATTTGTAGTGAAATGAACTTAGTCATACCTTGTTTTAACACTAACAGACCCCAATAAAACTGTTTATCGCTAGCTAAAGAAAAGCCCTATGCATTGTTTCTCTCTACAATGTAGACTTACCATTTGAATAAATATACAAATATTTATCTTCTGTCATAAGTTTTTATTTACAAGACATTGAGAATAGTATAAGAAATGTCAAGGTTTTATGCTCGATGTTTACCTTTGGCTTGTTTTGCAAAATTATTCGATACGTCATGTAGACCTATAACAAAGAATTTGCTTTACATTTTAGTTTCACTTTTCAACATTTTGATCTCTTCTTCTACTTGTTTCAATTTCCTTGGTTTCCCAAACCTAAAAATATAAAAATGAACTATAGATTTTGATTTCAATCCAAAACAATGCCTTATTGTTTTACATGATTTAGTAGGTCATTAAAACGATTCTGATTTAGTTTAACGATTAAATGATCACAGTCGACCGTGTTTGTCTTTGTTTAACTATCTAACGCTTTATGTGCAGCTATTTTTGGGACAAAGTGGATTTTATATGCGTTATTTAAGATTCTAAAAAAGTAACAACTACAAAGATTTAGTAAAGCTGGGGGTTACTAAGTATTCTGTAATGATGTCAACTATTTTGTGTGACTATGATTATTCTGATGTAATAAGGTAGTATAAAATAGTTGTGACGCTGTAGTATATAGTGTGTATTAATTATTCAGTGGAGAAGCTTAAAATAAACCTGTGACTTTTTTATCCACTTCAAATGCAGATCAAAATGTTTCAAAAGGTATTTCCTTATATCGTGACCAGGCGACTCTTCACGATTCATTATAGCAATACACTAAATACAGATTTTAATTTAATTAACTAATTATAATGTATTGACTAAATAATAGTAACATCATGGACCAAATCATGTGGTAATATGACTACTGTATTATATATTGCAAGTTTCTACAACGCAATGTGCAATTATGTTAATTTTGGCAGGACAACAGAATTAGCCATGTCCCTTTTTATTGCACAACTTGTGACGTAAGGAGCGTTGTCTTTTACCAATCCGATCGACTACGCGCTTCTTTCGATGGCAGATCCTGAAACCAGTGGCGATTGTAAAATCTCGCTGTACGTGTACTGGAATGGGACCCTAGATATGGAAATATTTTCAATCATAGGGCTATTAATTACTGCTGATTGAAAAGTCCAAGGAGGCTGAGTTTCATGACGTCTTCTATTTTTTTATTCTTTCTTAGATTGTCTAATACTATCTAATCATTCTATATTAAATCTACGATTTACGAAAGATTATGTAATTTATCTTATTTCGAACTTATTAAAAAGCTTAATTAACTTAGTTATAATCCTTGTTACAATCAATATTATATTTATGTAGGCCTATTATGTCTGGTTACTTACCCATGACCCAGTTGAATACAGTCATCAATTGTTTCTGGTAATGTAAGATGGGATGTTTCTGGTAAAAATATAGTTGATAATGTTAGAGCCAATATACAAATAATACTAAACACAACAAATGGTGATATTCGACCAAATGCTCCCGAAATACTGACAGTCTGGAAAAGAAAAAAACACAGTATGTTTAAAAGCGGTTTCGATTCAGGGAACCAATGTAATTGATGTAAATTATATTATGGGTTATTCCTTATTATTGCATCGCCTATTTTCAAATGTTACATATATAATATAGAGGATCTTATACGAGTCATGTAGTATGAAATTTATGAAATGAGTTTTAATATAACCCTAGCCAAGGCGAGAAAAAAATTTAAACCGGCAACGAATTTCATAAATTTTATAATACATTCTTTGAATCACACAACTATCAATAAGCACATAGGGTCTTTATGTTGAGGTTAGCCTTTTTACACCTTTCTACAATAGAATATATTCTAATCTGGGTTGGCAGAGAACACATTAAACGTGGGGTGAGGGCATGGTACTGAATGTAAACTATAATCTAGATTTCTAGTGAATATAGCATTTGGAACTCTCAGTAGAGCTAACCTTATGTCGGAGGCTAAAATTCTTGTATTTATGAAATATAGAACAAATAATACCATGTATCCAATGTAAGGGGCGACAACTGATCCAATCCTCGCCATAGCTGAACTTGTTCCAGTCCCGGTATTTCTAAGTTCTGTTGGAAATAATTCACCAGTCCAAAACCAGAGGATACAGAAAGCTGTAGTGGCACCAAATTTCCCAATGATAGCGAATACAGTTGTTAACCAATCGAAGTCTAAAATTATAAATTATTCTAATATGTATGTATATACACACAGATTATTGTTCTATTTAGTTGATAAGCATGTAAAATTTTAATATTTTTCTCAAATAAACCGAAATGGTAAATGGTTTACATTATTTTCTCGATCTTGGTTGAAAATGCGGACAATTACTACTCCACGCCCAATGAAAATGCCAGTTTAGGGGTTGACTTGTGGATTTCTAAGCAGTCTATAACCGCGTTTCCACTGAGCTAGCTCTAAGCTAGCTTAAAGCCTGCTTTATTGTCTAACGCGTTGCGTTTACATCGAGTTTTAACTGGTTCGCGAACGATTTAAGCCTCGATCACAAAGTCTCATATTATTGACAACTCGTGATGTACGAGACTATCGTTTAAACCAGTAAGAAATGCAATAGACCGGAAGGACCAGTATGCCCCCAATTGCACTGATTTTTATGGTTCTTGAGATTTCAAAATTCTTGAATGCTATATTTACCCTGTTGGCATATTTAAAAAACCGCCAGACCACAGAGCCACATGACATAGACATTAGATTGATCTTTCGCAGTAAGAAAAATATCTACATATTTCTCCTACCTTATCACGTGTAAAAGATTTAATCATACCTGAAGGAGCGTACAATAATGTGAATATACAAGACGTTAACGAAATAGCAGATACTATCAAACTTATACACAGCATCATTTTTCTACCAATTTTATCTGTTGACAACATTACTACGGTATATGTTATTATTTCCAATGCCGTTGAAATGACATAATTGAGGTATATATTTCCTGATAATATACTCATATTTAACAATATTCCATAATATGTCATACTGGAAGCAAACCTGGAAATACAAAATTGCGTCACTTAACAAAACACACAGAAATATCTACACCGCATAGCCGATTTTATCAAAATCTATTATCTCGAAAAAGTTGTTGCTCTGCGTGATGTTAATGTCTGTTAGTTGGTGTCTCTTTCTTAGAACCTTCACTTACCACGTAAAATAGATAATAAGTGTTCTGATACACAATCTGTAATTTGTAAACATTCTCCAAAATTTGAATTTTGTAACTTTATCCTGAACCTTTATGCCTTCAATCAATTCTTTATCGAATTCTATATTATTGATTCTGGCTGATTTTAGGATTATTTTGCTGGCTTTACTGTTATATCCCCTGGTCAATAACCATCGTGGACTTTCTGGTACAATCCTGAAATTTAAATTTAGTCACAAAATCGCGGATTATAAATAAGTTAGCAAATATATCCATAAAATTATCATTGTTATACGAATCATGGTCTTAATTCCAAGAAGACCAGTAATGGACGAATAAAATTTAGTAAGAAAGACGAACGCCCAAGGAAATATAAAATCTCACGAGACTTACAAGAAAAAGAAGAGAACAGGTGTAACGTAAACCGCCACTACAATCTGTAATGTTCTCCAGTTGCGAATAAAATATGCCATACCAATATAAATCATAGAACCCATACACCATGTATAAAATGATGCTACACCAGCGTATATTCTTTGATTGGGTGCAACAAACTCCAGACCTGAAAGAAATTACAAACATGATTATCATTGTTTCATCATCTAATTCAACCGTATTTGGGAACATTAATATATCACTCTACTATTTGTACATGCAAATTTGATAATATCTTTTACAGTGGGGTTTCCGGAGTTTTGTCAATCGGTTAAACGGGGCTCTAATTTATAGCCCTTGGTAAGAGTTACGGCCTCTTACCTATGATATATAGTGCTAGAACTTGGCCAGACATACTTAAACCAAGTAGAAATCTAATAAACATCAAAAATATATAATTTGGAGACCATATCATTAAATAATGACACGCCACAAAGGCAATGTTACACACTACCAGTAAAGGTTTTCTACCAAACCTGAAACATAAAAAGGATAGTAAAAAGATTTTTCTAAAAATGTTATGTGTATCAGGGAGACTGGTAACACCGATTTGCACCATTCCAATTTTTCCAATCAGACGTCTGTTGTTCTTGCTATTCCACAAGAATGCGTTTTTTGACGCAAAGGACATTATGTGTCAATAGCGACTTTCACGATAGTGACGTCATAAAAAGCTTACTTTTAGTGAAATTGCATGAACCACCTATAGTAATTCACAGATAATGTTTTTAAGTAATTTGCATCAGTTTAGTATTTGGTGGAACAGTTTAATTGTTTTTGGAGTAGAATCTACGCATAAAGAAAGCTTACATATCAGCTGCAGTACTTAATGTAGAGTAACCAACCAACAAACCAAGAAATAACACCATAACAGCATTGGTCTTATACACTGCTCTGTCACATACAAGATCAAACTGGAAGCATACAGAATACATTATAGAAGTATTATAACTATCAATAAATTAAAATGATTAAGGTTTGACTAAAAAGCATCTGACGAATTCATTAATCAAGAACTGTCTCCATCACTTTCTGTCCTAACACGGCATCTTTATGAGCTAGAATCGATAATTCATATTTATACAGATCGGTTCCTTAATTTCTTAGTCTCATAAAATGTTCGTAAATGAATATTGAAAATAAACTGAATAAGACAAAAATGATTAACCTCTGTAACAAATGAAGAAAAGAATTCAGATTTATCATAAACCCAAGATTGGCATTTATATTCTCGTGAAGTCAAATTCCCATTCTGGTCTATAGATTGATTACGTAACATACAGCTAGAATGTGAGGGAATGGATTGGTTAATAAGGTAACTATGGTAATCATCTTGTATTTGATATGTATCATTATCATAACCTGGAAGAGCACATCTGAAAAATATTAATTAATATACATTGTTTATGTTTGATTTAACTTTGGTGAAACGAGGTTAAAGTCTAAATATTGATATTGAAAACTTTTATCGTGATCAGTATAGTAAATTGATAGAGTTTGACGCCCTACTGCTGATGAAGACGGGCAAGGTTACGTTGTATGCAACGATGGAAAAACTTTGTTGTAAAAAGATAACTACCTGTGTTTAGGAATGTTCAATGTAAAAACAGAACTCAGCTGTGATGGACCTGAGGTAAAAGAACACAATGCTGTAAAGATGACCATCAATTTCTGATGTCGTCCAAACTCTCCCAGTAACACTAACACATCATCGTACAACATTCTTCTTGACACCTCTTGATATATCTTCTAGTAGGTTTATTGACCTCTTCAGACTATTCTTATGAAGTTCTTAAATATCTGAAAAACAAATAAACCTAAAAACCATTCTAAATAGAAACTATTACGATTCTTCTTATTCGCAGAATATTACTTTATTTTCTTTTAGCAAAACTTGGTTGGATTTTCGATGAACATTTTTTGAGTTCTTGATTTTGTCAAAATACCCAAAATGGCTTATGAAAAAAATAGTTTTGATTGTATTTTCATGAAACATTGTCACGCTCGCGTAATAGGTGGGACCACGGGTGAATTTGATTCTCATGGTTTCTGCACAAAACGTCAAATAATATATAAACATTATAAACAGGCGTGTTTGATCGGAAGCTTCGTATGGTCAGTTTAAAGCTTCCTGGGGTAGTCTTGGATACAATTTAGGACAAAAATCTTCCTATTCTCCGATATGAATAAGATTGCAGAGAAAATCTAAGAGAACAAATTTCGAAATAGTAAGGTTTTTTTTGGAAAGTGAATAATGCAGCGATCAAAGGGTAATAGGAAGACAAAGGTTTTACCAGTGGTTTATAAAATTTTTGGTCGTTTTCAAAAGTTTTAAATTGCCAGGACATTTTCGGGCGACTGAGTTAGGGTTGGTTGTCTAGAGTAATTCGAATCTGGACCTTTTTGGAATATTCTGTCAGCGAAATACTTTGTGAAGGTACAAGTTGGTAACCTAGATCAGCCAAGCCAAATTGTAGCATTATATGGTAAATGTGAACTCAAATGTGTACACAGTAAGTTGTCTTATCATGCAGAACTTGACCTTATATTGTAGATACGGGTCATTATTCAAATCAACACGCTTATAACGACTTAAAAAGATAAGAGATACCATTATGCACATGATATGTATAGCACTTATTTTACCCTTTATCCTTTTAAACACCATTAGACACAAAAATAATATTCCTGATAAATAACCTTAAAAAATTCAAAATATTAAATGAAAAGAAATTATTAAGCAAGAGTCCTAAATCGTAGTCAATATTTCCAGCTTCTTTTCTATGAGAATGTTGATAGGCCCTGTTATATTATTATACAATAAAGCATATTATTATGCCTAAAAATTGAAAAGATTGGAGTCTCGTTGCAAATTTTACGGAATCATCATGTTGATAATTTAATTCAATATTATTACAAAATTAAAGGTGAGCCTGGAGGAATCTGTCCAGAGCGGAACTGAACGATCGGAATATGGTCACCTCATGAGATGCTCGAATCACCAGTCGACATTGGTCATCCCGAACTTTACTCAAGGTTCTTGAATATGGGAGTGAGGGTTTGTGCTTTATACAAAATCTGGTAAACTTATATCTTTTCATTTTTCATGAAGGGAAGTGTATAGAATCTTTCTTTTGCAATTTCAAATTATTTAGTTTCGTCTGATTTTCACCCATCCAAACAGATTATTTGTTTTTAAGAACAACAGACCTTCTGAGCCAAATGGTAGGGCCAGGAACTTAACTTAAAAATTCAATCATTATACAGACGACCGAACTCGATTGCTGCAGTCGGCATCCTTGTGTCATTGAGGAAGACCTCAAAATCATCACCAAAAGATTTTCAACTTACCTGCCTATTACTGCTATTTATCCTTAATATACTAGGACCTATGGCGAGTCTGAACTCACGTTAAGTAAACATAACGTTCAGATGTACACGTGTAGTTTTCATATCAGACGGGTATCCCAGCCGGTAAACCCCAGCCATACAAATTTATAGTTAATAGCGTAATCTGAGGTAAAGCCTAATTACTCCCATACTTAATCTACTATTTAATCTTCATTATTCTATTAATCTGCTTTACAAGCGCACATATGTCAGTTTTATAGATTTTGCTTGTATTACTATCTTTATATTAAAATCCTGCTTCGGACTCCAGTAACAGTTTTCAAACAAGTTCATCTTTGGGTGTTTCTCTGATTTCATTTTGAGTACGTGGCTTTTTTTGTACCTAAAGCTACTACGAATTTTGGTGATTAATTGAAGCTGTTTGTTGGATTTTATTGGTTTGTTGTTCTCAGCTTGACACCTATCTCCTCGAATAGTGTTTTTGGCAAGATTTTGTTGACAAATCGGTCTTATTCCATTCTATCTATTCTAATATGTAAACATTGCCTTAGAAAGCGAGTTACAACAACCGTGGGAAACTAATATTATATTATTGTGTATGATTATGTTAATCATAATAATTATCACTGCTAAGTCATATATATTATGTAATTGTTTCCCGGCGTGTTTCGGGAGCCGCGGTGGCTCAGTGAGTTAGACGCTTGCTCACTAACCTGAAGGTCCAGGGTTCGATCCCGGCATAGGTCGAGATAATACCTTCGGATTTTTCAACCTGGTTTCCCCCCGTCAGTGATGCAGGTAAGAGGGGCTGACATGGAAAAAGCGTCTAGTCGTTCGGATGGGACAATAAACCGAGGCCTCGTGTGCTACAGGCTGTGCACGTTAAAGATCCCTCGACAGTTGGAAATCGAAAAAGAGCAGGCTAATGCCGCTGTCCTGGCAAAATTTCCCTCATGGCAACCTGCATGGCGTTGCCCGTCTTCATTAGCCCACAAGGTGCAGAAGAGTAGGACGTAAAACTCATTCATTTCATTTCATTTTCATTTCCCGGCGTGATTCAGTTTGACAGATTCCCACATATTTCTAATCCCAACTTTAACAATCGTCTGAATCAAAAGGATAAAACCTTTTAGTTCAATGCAAATCGCATTCCACAATTCATAATCGGCAAGCCAGCAAAGAGGTAGAAATAAAGCGAGCCCAATAAACACCTGAATCATACACGATGGAAATGAATTTGGTTGGTCTGCAATCAGAGAAGATAGTGTAAAGGTGGGAATAGACGACGTTCGGTTTCCGGTGCGGTGTTCGTTGCGGAAACACGGTGCGGACATGATTCGCTTCTACTATTTTCTACTGTCTAGATAATCCCGCGCCGTAGGCTACACCGCACCGGACACCATACTTCGTCTATTCCCACTTTACACGTCCAAATACGTCCACTTCAACATGCTGAGAAGGGGGTTTCAATAATTATTTAGTTTAATGGATGTACCCCCTTTCAGATTCTATATTTAGTCAACTGATGAATATACACTTCGTTTTAGACTTTAAATTACATGTCCATTTTAAGAGGTAGTATTCCTTTAATATTTAACAGCAATCTAATTTCTTTGAATTTTTTTTTTACCAAAAAGTTGCATAAGACATGAGATACCTGAGCGAGGAAAATAGATATGAAATATAATATTTTCTATATCTTCAGAAAAGAAAGTATTTTTTACCTTTAGGGAAGTTGACGTGCCTTTCGTTTTGGCAAAAGCCCACAATTACAAAACTTTGGAAAATGTTTGATTTAGTAACACCAAAAATATCAAACAATCCTTGAATATAGAACAAATTGAATACGGCTATTGACTAACCAGTACAAAGTACTATAATATTCATGTTTAATATTATAAGTTTACAGACACAATGACCTTAACAATTCAGATTGCATTATCAATTTCACATAACATAAACGTCAGGTTAACCGTAAATGACTCCAAAGTATTAGTGTATTCATGTTGGTGGACATAAATGTGAATGAAACGTAATTGTTATTCTGAATCTGACTTTAGGAGATGTGGGCAAACTGATTGGCGAAGAGTAGGTTAACCAAACCAAAGCGAGCATAATTTTAACATAGAGTGTTAAAGTACATGCTCCTTAAATGTCGTATCCAACTATGCTAGTCGACACGGCGATGGTGAAACATTATGTCTTGCGCAGCTGTTCTAAAGTTTAAAAGTGAAAATTTCAAGCTTAATATATGATATTTTGCAATGTTTCACAGTACATTATAATCAAAATGACTTGTAGGCTATCGTAATTGTACTTATCACAATACTTATCACGGATTATGACCGCGCCAACTAATGTAAATTTTCAAGAATATCATATTAAGCCTTCTGATTTGCTTATAAAAGAAAGAAAGAAAGGAAAAGCGTTCAAACGATTGAAAGTCAATTGACACAAAAATTGTGTTATAAGAAACCATTGTGACTTTTTGGTGGATTTGGAGCATGTCATTGTAGAACTTCTATTCTACTGTATCCTCAAACAGTTGAACCCCATAGGTTCTGCCAGTCAGTTCAGACAAAGGAACAGATTAATACCGAGGTGTGGTGCATCCCATATCTAATCTTAAAGACAGTACTTTTATTCGATATTTCTCCAAAAAGCATTTTATGTAATAGTGGACAAAAATGTTTATTTTACTTTTAAGAAGTTTAAAGACAACAGCTCTATTCTAATACGATATTTTAGTAATATGAATGTCAAAAGTTTTCAGCGAAATGTTGGTGAACAAAATGGTGAGCAATAGAACTTTAAGCTTTGCTACTTCAACTTTTAACTGTTGAATTCAGCATTTTCATTTCTTCTGGTGAAGGTTTGGATTTCTGTTTTCCAAATCTGTAAGATAAAGTTTATTTTTCTCAAATTAGAATCTAACTAACTTAAGAATCCAATCGACATTGGCTACATTTTCTATTATATGGCTTACTTAAGTGCCAAGGATTTCACTTATTAATGACAAAACATTAAATATGATGTAACTTATGGTAGAATTTTAAATCAGTTTCATTTAAAATCCCACGGATGATATATAAATATGTATAATTCTCTCCACTAACTGTGACTCCAGAAGGCTTTATCCAATATAAAGTCTATATATCTCACTGATTGCAGGCTGAATTGACAACATTTGTAGTTACAACTTGCAACCATTTTACCAGACAATGATTTGATATATCAACAATAGAGCACGTTGGTTAAATCTAGCGAACACTACCGGGTGAAAGATATGTTCATGCGATAAGTTTTGTCTTGCATTCTGCTTTGGTGATCAGAATAGGTTTAATGAGCCTTATCCCGGGTCACTTTCTTTCACTGACTGGTGGAATTCATTACCACGCGTAGTACAATTTATTAGGATGATATAGAAAATTCAAAGAATACAAATAGTAAGCCTAGCTCAGTGGTTGATGAACTGACCTCAGTCTTGAATGCAGAAGTTACTCCCCATCGTCGGTTATTGTTGGTTAACTCAGTAAAATGGGTGTTCGCCGAATTATAAGTCAGATAAAACACTTTCCCTTGGGTTTTTATACTTTTAAACCTTTCCCCTGGAAAATCCCTACGGTATGCGGGTTTTTAGATATAACAAAACCCGTAATACAAATTATACAATATACATTTTAGTAATAAGATAGACCTTTTCTTACAATTTCCCTTTTAGCGCTTGAACTAAATTAATGAAAAATAAAATTGAACCTAGCAATTTCTAGGATCTTACCCATGACCCAGTTGAATACAGTCATCAATTGTTTCTGGTAATGTAAGATGGGATGTTTCTGGTACAAATATAGTTGATAATGTTAGAGCCGATATACATAGACTACTGTAGACAATAAATGGTGATATACGTCCAAATACTCCTGGTATCACGATTTTCTGAAATAAACTATATAACTTTAAAGGCACATTTGGTAACTTAAACTGAAAAATAATAATTACAACATTTCCTGTTACATTGATAGCAAAGCTAAACCCATCGTGTCCTAACCACTCCTCCATTCGTCATACTTCTTCGAGACCATGTCAAAACCCGTATTCGTGATTTCTAACCGAAAAGCTTTCCATCATTAATGCCCCAAAGAACTTAAAACAAACGTTCCGAACTCGTCTCGAAGTATAGACATGAGAATAAGTTCTACTTGTCGAACTTCAGTAGGGACGCAAGCTGGATTATATAGGTCAGTTGTCTGAATATCGCATAGCGTGAAACTCTGAGTAACAATCATCATATCAAGAATACGGGTTTTGACATGGTCTTATTAACCCCGAGGAATGGGGTGTGGGGCGCGGTTTGGACACGATGCGTAACAACATGTTTATTTTGTTGGTTCTGTTTTAACATTTCTATCTTTAAAACTGTACAACAACCAACATGTGAGATTTTTTTTTTTAAAATGAATTGAATGACGTTGTTTTAGGTCGAGTATACTGTTGGTCATGAAGACGGACAACATTTTATGCAGCGTCCAATGAGGGAAGTGTTGTCAGGACAACGGCAGTAGCTAAATCTTTTTCGATTTCAAAGTATCGAGGGATCCTTAACGTGCACAACCTGTAGCTCAAGGGCTTCAATTTTTTTTCCCACCGGACGACAACAGTAGTCCCTCCGACCTGCATCACTGACGAGGGAAACCGGGTTGAACAGATCATTTGAATGCACATACATTATTATATATATGCATATAGTCTTTAAAGTACTAGAAATCTAAAAAAAAATTGCATTATTTCTTCAATAATACCTCAGACTATGAATTTCACTTTCTATTTCGATATTTTTCTTTTCTTTTTGTGTGTCTCAACAAAAGGCGTAATTTTAACTTTCAAACACATGGATTTGAAGGCTCAAAATTTGACTGTGAACTGTGAACATTATTATTGATAGTTTAGCTACAAAGGTACTATTACCTACTATCAAACAGGTGGTGAACCCATCCCTTTAAGTAGGCCTCTATTCCAATAAATAAAACGTGGCTCAAAAGGTTCCAATATCCCACCAGGTATCACGTAGAAGTAACGAGTATAAAGGGCAGATTATGTCTAGCTATGCTGGGTCATAATGATCAGGCTTGTGCACTACTACATGTACGCTTTCTGAAACACCCGACTTTTTATTTTGGTCTTAATCAGACCATATTTGAGATCATTTAGTTTTGGACCAGTGTTTGTGTTTTAACTTAAGTTCAAAATAAGCTGCTTTTTGTCTTACCATATATCCAACATAAGGGGCGACAACAGAACCAATTCTCGCCACAGCAGAACTTGTTCCAGTCCCGGTATTTCTAAGTTCTGTTGGAAATAATTCACCAGTCCAAAACCAGAGGATACAGAAAGCTGAGGTGACGGCAAACTGTCCAGTGAGGGCTAACACAGTTGTTATCCACTTTAGACCTACAATTGTTATACAGTATTTGAGGAAAGAGAACAAGCAACTTTGTAATGACACAGCACTTTAAGATCCCGTAGCACCCTTCCATTGCCAATCTCACATTCGAAACTTATTGGATTATTACGCTAATGGACTAAGGACTAATATATTTTGAACTCCATTTAATTTTGCTAACTTCTTCTTGGAAATTTATTTACCGGATGATTTGTATGTTCTGCAGTTAAAAACCATTCTGCAGATAAACTAATTTTAAAAAAGACACATTGCGACTATGATATGACCTCATTATTTAACGAGTGGAATGACATCGAGTGTTAAGAATATCGTGCTTTATAACAATATTACAGTAAAAATATACTAAAGGTATTGGTTCAATGAAGACATTACCTGGTGGTGCATAAAGCTCAGTAAAAATACAAGAAGTCAAACAAATAGCAGCTATAACCAAATAAATACATGACATCATCTTTCGGCCAATTCTATCAGTCGTTGTAATAACTATTACATAGGCCAGTACCTCTAGAGAGGTGGTTATCACATAATTTATAAACATATTTCCTGATAATAACCCCATATTTAATATAATTCCATAATATGTCATACTGGCAGCAAACCTGAAATCATTAAGACAAATTAAGAACATGTCGGTAACATAAAAGCATAAAAAATTGAACTGCGACCATCGCTAGCATGAAATATTTTACTTTAAATGTTGTCAGCATATCTAGAAAGTACGGAGCCCCTAAGGCGCAATTGTAAACATATTTATTTATTATTTCGTTTAAACGAAAGAAATAATATTTCGTTTAAACGAAATAATTATTTCGATTAAACGAATTAATTATTTCGTTTAAACGAATTAATCATTTCGTTAAAACGAAATGTTATTTCGTTTAAACGAATTGAATTATTATTTCGTTTAAACGAAATAATTAGGGGCTCCGTATAGAAGCATACTTTTCTTCTGTATTTATTTTATATTCAATGTTGTTTACAACTTTACAGATTGGAACGCATTTCAAACAACAAGGGCACGAATTCACAATGAATATAGTTTTTATATGCAACCCTATAGAGACAACGATGCCATCAGCCTAATATGTTTTAAAGAATTATATGATACATTACGTGCAACGGCTGACCTTCCCAGTCGGTATAGGACAATTAGTGAAAACAACAGACCAATGGGCAAATGAAATAAAAAATAAAGTGAAGGCCTCAAAGCGAATGTTTATCAAAATTTTTCTCATTTCACATTGCTCATTATCTTCATAGACTGAACGTCATTACTTGTGAATGTTCCAAATTGTATATTCGGTGATTAAATCAGAGTAGTAAAAATATCATACTTACCACGTAAAATAGATAATAAGTGTCCTGATACACAATCTGTAATTTGTAAACATTCTCCAAAATTTAACTTGAGTAACTTTATCATTTATTTCTATATCTTTAATCAATTCTTTATCGAATTCTATATTATTTATTCTGGCTGATTTTAGGATTATTTTGCTGGCTTTACTGTTATATCCCCTGGTTAATAACCATCGTGGACTTTCTGGTACACAACTTTAAATAAACAAAATGCGATGAAGAGTGTGGCCTATTTACATTCTACTATGTCAAAACGAAAAAATTACATTTTTCTTATATTGCACTTGTACAAGTGAGGTTGATTTTTATACGCCCACGTGAATGTGTGGTCGTATATTGTCGTCGCCCATGTCCGTCGGTACGTCGGTCCGTCCGTCAACATTTCATGTGAGCACTATAGAGACTACAGTTTTTATCTGATTTTGATAAAACTTGGTGTGTTGCTTTAGATTGATAAGATCTCTGTCGAGTTCGAATTTGACATATTTTCGATGAACGGTGTTTGAGATATTGCCCTTGACTTTGTTAAAACGCGTCGAAATTTGTTAAAAATAGTCCGTGAGCAGGATGGAAGCTACAGTTTTCAACCGATTCTTATGAAACATGGTGTGATCATTGGAATTGATAAGATCTCGGGCAAGTTCTAACTTAACGCATTTTCGATGAACGGTTTTTGAGTTATTGCCCTTGACTTTGTTAAAACATGTCGAAATTTGTTAAAAATAGTTTGTGAGCAGGATTGACGATACAGATTTCAACCGATTCTGATGAAACTTGGTGTGATCATTGGAATTGACAAGATCGCGGACAAGTTCTAACTTGACGCATTTTCGATGAACGGTTTTTGAGTTATTGCCCTTGACTTTGTAAAAACGCGTCAAAATTCGATCGTGAGCACAATAGAAGCTACAGTTTTCAACCGATTCTGATGAAACTTGGTGTGATCATTGGAATTGATAAGATCTCGGACAAATTTTAGCTTGAGATATTTTTGATAAACGTTTTTTGAGTTATTGCCATTGATTTTGTAAACGCGCGTCAAAAGTTGTTTTTTCGCCCTTGATCAGTGCTGTGTTATTTAATTGTTTGTTGTATTTGGGTAATTGATATTGATTTAAACAAAAAATTGTAGAATTGCTCAGCATAAATAACTAGCTTATATATATTTATATATATATATATGTAATTGAATTCAAACTAATAATATTTCTTCAATATGAGAAAATTCGTACTTTAGTCACTAAAGACTGTTTTATCATTTCTGACAGCTGTCAATGGGCGTATGTCACCTTGCCTCGCAAGCTATCTTAGATAATATATTCATTTGTGGTAAAAAAAATACAAATATTAATTTTAAATATCTTACAAAAAGTTGAGTAAAACAGGAGTAGAGTAAATAGCTACAAATATATGTAAATGTTGCCAATCACGAAGGAAGTATCCCGCACAAATATAAATAAAACAACTAACAATCCATGTGAAGAAGGAACCAACACCTGCATAAATTCTCTGATCCGGCCCAACAAATTCGAGAGCTGAAGAAAAACACATACACCTTATTAGAAGTATAACATTATTTTAAATTTCTTAAAAGGACAGATGTGCCATTTTTCTTTAAAGGGGGTGAGGGGTTGACTTGAGTCTTGAAATTATGTAAATAGTCTTGTACGAAAATCGCATAATTCTTCCAAAAATTTCAAACTAGGAATTTTACTCACTATTTCGATAAAGGTCTTTCTATATATCACAGAGTGGCCCTATCTTAAAAGGACGAGTTGTCATTTTAACATTCAAACGCAGATAATTCTTGACACACATGGATTTCAAAGCTTAATTTGGACAATGGGCTGTGAACACTATTACTGATTGACTGAGTTCAATAATTCCCGTTTCTGAGACTAAGGTATGATTGGTCAAATATAATGGCGCACCTGTCTCTTTATATAACCCACAACATTCTGTAAGCTGTTTTTTGCTGTACAGTGCCTCACATACGACATATTTCACTACTTATTTTGAATTAAAAACTTAAATTTTTTCTTGGTGAAAATTAATTTTGAATTAAAAACTTTAATTTCAACGTAGGTGATAACTATTTTCAAGGATAAAAATTAGGTGATAATTACTAATAATTAGTCTCATTTTGAATTAAAAACTTAGGTTAAAGTTTTAACTTAGGGCCACGTACCGTAGGGATGATATATAAGCTTGCAAATAATATATAGAATACCAAAAAGAATATATTGAATAACTCACCAATAATGTACGGAATTACGCATCATTAATATATAAAATACCCACATAGAATAACTCACCAATAATATACAGAATAACTCACCAGTAATATATAGAAAAACCACAAATAATATATAGAATAACTCATTAATAACAAATATAGAATAACTCACCAATAATATACAGAATAACTCACCAGTAATATATAGAAAAACCACAAATAATATATAGAATAACTCATTAATAACAAATATAGAATAACTCACCAATAATATACAGAATAACTCACCAATAATATACAGAATAACTCACCAATAAAATAAAGAATAACTCACCAATAATATACAGAATAACTCACCAATAGTATAAAGAATAACTCACCAATAATATACAGAATAACTCATACATAAAATACCCACGAATGATATATAGAATAACTTGTCAATAATGTATAGAATACCCACGAATCATATGTAGAATAACTCACCAATAATATAGTCACCAATAATATATAGAATAACTTGCCAATATTGTATAGAATACCCACGGATAATTTAAAGAATAACTCGCCAGTAATATAGTCACCAATAATATATAGAATAACTTGCCAATAATGTATAGAATACCCACGGATAATATATAGAATAACTCGCCAATAATATATAGAATACCCACGAATAATATGTAGAATAACTCACAAATAATCAGAGAACAACTAACCAATAATGTATAGAATACCCACGAATAATATATAAAAGAACTCGCCAATAATGTATAGAATAACTCACCAATAATATATAGAACAACTCACCAATAATGTATGGAATACAAACGAATAATATATAAAAGAACTCACCAGTAATATAAAATGTCCACGAATCATATATAAAATAATTGACCAATAATATGTAGAATACCTACGAATAATGTGTACAATAACTCACCAATAAAATATAGAATAGCTCACCAATAATATACAGAATAACTCACCAATAATATAAAGAATAACTCACCAATAATATGTAGAATAACTCACCAATAATATGTAGAATACCCATGAATAAAATATAGAATAACTCACCAATAATATATAGAATAACTCACCAATAATATACAAAACTAAAACTTGGCCTGACATACTTAATCCAATGAAAAATCTTATCAACATAAGTGATATGTAATTTGGTGACCAAATCATTAGATAGTTGGAGATTACAAATACAAAGTTTGAAACTAGCATTACTGGTTTTCTACCAAATCTAAAATAAAATACAGCAGTGTTAGTTAGATTGATATTTTGGAAAAGAAGGAGGGGTGGGGGTCAAAGAGTCAAAGAGCTCCATAAAATGTTACGGGATGGAGAAAGAATTTTGTCTCGCAACTACACTCGTCACAATGATTAATGGTGCAGTCGTACATGAAATGCGGTATATGTGAGTAGGAACGGATAACGTATAATGCAATGGTCACCATTGTGGCCACTGGTCGCCGAATCATGATTTTTTTTTCGTACTTGTTCCAAAGTGGCCACCACACAGTACTGTGAACATTCTTCATCTTACAAGCGCATACGGATCGATGCCGGTAAATCTGAGGTATAAAAAAAATCGATGTTCAATAATATCAAACTATTACAGCATAGAGCGAGTGTAACGAGGGCTTTTTTTCATTGAAACATAACATTGTAGTGTGTTTCAAAAGGTACAATCGTAATCAGATTATGAAACCATGATATTGTCTTGTCTTATGGACAATAATAATCACTTACATGTCAGAGGCCGTGCTTAAAGTGGTGTAACCAATAAACAAACCAAGAAATAAAACCATTACAGCATTCGTCTGATATACAGCATTATCACATACCAGATCAAACTGTCACAAAATGAATATATTATTGTATTAGGTATGGTCCATAACTGACTACCAACCATTCTCAGATTATGCACCAGTGTTAGAAATACTACTTTACACGTGAGGTCAGAACTGAGTGTTAGTGTTAATATTAGTTAGTATCGAGGTCAAATGTTGGGGCTAGTGTTACACTAGTGCTATACTTATGCACTTATCCAACACCGAATTCTGTCCTGACTCCCTGACTATTGTTAACAGTATATTATATTTATGTTTATAGAAAAATGAACAACTTGTTGTTATTGGTGAAGGTTTTTGCAAAACCATCATGGGCACTGTATGTATAGTTGTATCAGGAAAAATGGAGTTTCAATCATGATATCAGTTTATAGCATATTCGTCAAACAAGGAGATGAGACTGTGAAATATGACCACGTAACCATGAACCAAAAGGTTTCTGGTAGCATTTTGTCTGCTTAATAACGTCTAAACATGCATAGGGAGTCAAAATCAATGTTTTTCATACCCATAGAATCTGTTAATGCTGATATAATAAGGATCAGATCCAATCCAAGCAAGATGGTGTTCAAAATGGTTGCCGAAGGTTTGAATTTGCCTTGACTATTTCCACATCAGCATCTTCATGTGCATTCACCACCACTGTGAAACCTTTTGTCCTCAGTTTGTTGCTTAAGTTGGCGTCTCTTGAGAGGATTCCCTCTCTCTTGTCAATGAACATTGAAGTAAAGCTAACAATGGGATGGTTGTTATGGCCCCGTCATGTGTTGTGTTTCATTTTTGATTGATGTCCAAAGATCACATTATGACAATTCTACTACTCGCATGAGCTGAGATAGCTAAAACTAATTGTAGCTAACCAGACTCGGACGATATAACTGGCTTCAAGTGGGGCACGAGGGAGCGGACAGAGCTTGTAATTCATAACATCCGCCAGATATAGATCCCCAATTTGGGAGACAACTTAAACAATTTGAAGAGAAAACAAGAATCGAAGGTGCTGTCTTGAGAGACTTTTACAGCAGATGTGATTCCATGCGCCATTGCCTTGTCCTTCCTGCTAAATGATGTACAGAAAATACAGACTGTCTGGTGTATTTTGTCTTTGCCCGTCAAAGTGGGGGTGGTATCAGAAAAATGCTGCCCCTGGGAGACTCCTGAAGGATGTGCATTGTAACTGCTCAAATGCATGTGTGACACAAAGCTGTTCTTGCAGGAAGTATGGTCTACCCTGTACTCATGCTTGTAGACCATGTCCGCTTCAGACATGACATTGTGACAATCCACATAACAGAACTGTCACAGAGGAGTCTGAGGATGATGATGAATAATATGTGTATTTTAATTCTGCCAGAATGAGATTACATTACCAGATTCTTTGAATATGGAACCATCAGTGAATCGACTTTCTCAGCTTGCACAGTAATTGAAATATTAACTATCATATTGTTCTAGCAGCCACTATGGACGCCATTGTGAATAATTGTTATAATAATGTTTACACTATAACATTTTGTTTTAACCCGAAGAAGTAATGTTACACACCAAAACACAAATTCCTATGTTGAATAGCAATTGAAATATTTCAATTTGTAAGCTGTCGGCAGTCATCATGGACGCCATCTTGACTGGATTTTTTCTGCTCTTTATTATATTAGCATTAACAGAGTCTGTGGGAATGAAAACCTGGGTGAGGACACCAAATTCTAAAAAGTTATTGCAAATTTAAACTTGATCTTAATTATATCCGCATCAACAGATTCTATGGTATGAAAACCCGGGTGTAAGCACCAAAATCATCTTCCTAGGTAAAATAGCAACTGAGTTATTGCAATTTTAAGCTTTCGGTAGCCATCTTGAACACCATCTTGATTTTGACCCACTATGTATGGTCCAATTTTGGTAGACTTTTAGTATGCTACCATAATCCGTTGGGAAATCTTCTGTATCAATTTGTTCAGGGTAAACTCACGGAAAGATCCGTCTAGATGGTGTCTGGTTTTATATGAGTGTTGAAAGAATACCTTCGTAACTAACGTAGCTGTAAACAGAGATTTATCATAAACCCAAGATTGGCATTTATATTCTCTTGAAGTCAAATTCCCATTCTGGTCTATAGATTGATTACGTAACATACAGCTAGAATGCGAGGGAATGGATTGGTTAATAAGGTAACTATGGTAATCATCTTGTATTTGATATGTATCATTATCATAACCTGGAAGAGCACATCTGGAAAAAAAAATCAACAACATAAGAACCAGAAAATCACCAAATAAAACGATATTTTATTAGATTATTAGATCAATTAATACCAAATGTGTGTTTGTAACTTTGTAAGTGTTTAGTATGCGATTGGTACGTGTTATATATAGTGACGTCTTAATGTGAATACGTTGATTGGAATGACAGGAACCACAGCAGAAAGTCTGCAAAAGTCTTGCTAACGCTCTGCAGCATATCACAGTAATGAAAGGTAGCCATTTTTTTGCCAGAACTGTGTCTTTATTGTCACGTGATTCTGGTAGTTCAAACATTAGTGGTTGGTCGTTTAGAACTACAAGCGATGGTAAATAAAGTGAATAAAAACAAAAACGTTTTAAGATATGGATACAAAATCTTTCATAGGTAAAGAGATAGTCACAACAAAGCATTACATAAAAGTAAAGAGTCCCCGTAAAGAGTTTACAATTTTGACCTATAGGACACAAATATTTGTGAAATGCCGGAAGTTAAGAGTCTCGCCCACGAGGACACAAGGAAATCTACCATGAATTGCCGAGACAGATTCAGCTTTACGGAAACTGCAGAGGATTGCCAAATGAAACCATTGACGTCGGTTGTTGTGGAAATAGACGTCATTCAAGTTCCTTCGTTGGAATCCCATTAAATGTATTGTACTTTTAGAGGCTTGCCTGTGATTTGGTATTGCAAGTTCGAATACAGAACTCAGCTGTGCTGGACCTGAGGTAAGAGAGGTCAGAGTTGATAATACCAGAACCAATTTCTGGTACCGACCAAATTCTCCTAGTAATACCAATACATCATCATATACAATTTTCTCTCCCATATTGTATATCTGCCTGAAAAAAATGAATGATAACGACCAGGGTTTCAATAATACGACATTTAGGGATTGTTCCTCTGTCTATCTGCTTTCAAACATAAATATAAATCCCGCGAGTCTCACTTGTAGATCAAATTTGAAAAACTGGTGAGGAGGTTCAAAACAGAAGTAGCAAACGAGGCTAAATCCATTAGAACACACCCGAAAAGGAAAAGAAAAACAAGGAAACCTTCTTATTTCCCAGTGAAAATATGTTACAGGGTTCGCACAGCCTTGAAAAAGCCTTGAATTCCGTCCGTTGCCTTGAAAAACCTTGATTTCAAAAAAAAGTCTTTGAAAACAACATAAAAAACCCAAAAGTCCTTGAATTTTGAGTTGAGTCAAATTGCGTATATTTTTATCATTAACCCCATTGACAAATATTAACTATCTTTATTGATTTCACAGTTCAGAAGTTAGGTACATGTGTATTCCGTCAGACTAATATCCTTGAAAAGTCCTTGAATTTCAAAGCCCAGAGTCCTTTAAAATTCTTTGAATTTTTGAGTCGAAGTGCTGTATGAACCCTGTGTTACATCCTGCATTTAGTTTTCATAAAAGATATTAACTGAATATAGCCTATATTTGCAAGTCACACTGTTCAGAATTAGGGTACACTTCACTTCGTCTCTGATAAAATTCAGAACACACACTGAAATAAATCACCCAAACAAAAAGGGCAAACAAGTGTAAACAAAGCAGCATTATGATCAAGTAGATACGTAAATGTAATCTTATAGCATCTTATAGAAATATTTCCATGAAAATTTTGCATACTGTAATTTTAAAGTTAAAACTTGTTGTGTAATGTTTAACTCACAAATATGATAGAATGTCCTATATTATAAATATAAGTATTTATGAATTCGAAGAACAGTTTTTGAGTCAATGCACTCAGCTTAATGGGACAGTAAAGTTGCCCATTCTTTTTGACCAATCATACTTTAGTCGCCGAAACGAGAATTTTTTTTAGCTATGCCAATCAGTAATAGTGCTCACAGCTCTCCGTCGAAATTTGAGCCTTCAAATCCATGTGTGTCCAGAATTATCCGCTTTTGGATATTAAAATAAGATACTCTGTGATATATAGAAAATGGGGTACCTATATTCAACGTGTATCAGCGATCACCTGCGTACTAGAAGTGTACCTCAAATCTCGTAAACATACACATTTCTTGCGATTTGCGATATGAATTTATGACTTTTTTTTATTCGCAGCCAAACACAACCGGTGGTCGCTAAGGTGTGAGGGCACCTTTACTTTGCGTGTGTCTGCAATCACATGCGTGTTTTTTTTTCTGTTAACCTCAAATTTAAAAACCGATTAGTTTAGTGCAGCCGCACGCAACTGGTGATATATACACGTTATGGGGATTTCCACAATGTTTAAGTATTCTATACTATATTCGAATATAAAATGAACTTACCTGTTAATATTATCTGTTGAATAAACCTGTCTGTTTGGTCTGCTAGTCAAAAACCACTGTTAGTAAGACCTTGAGTCATTGAAGCATGAATACCAGTCTGGACACGGTAGGGCTATCAAGTAGAACTAAAAACGACAGAAAAAAGACAATGTGACAATATTACACGCATTATTTCTCTCACCTGTTCAACGATCGACTAATGTCAAGACTATAATAATCCGTAAGTGTCACAGTGACTTTTTGGAGAAATATCCTTAACAGATCTTAAAATTGTTGAACAACTTGCATTTAAAAATTTATAATCTTAACTATGGCTTTAATCTTTAGTTGAATAGCATTTTTAATTTAGCCTTGTTTGGTTCTTAAAAATTCCCGTTCTTTAAGGACATAATTATAATCAACATTTAGACTTTAACTTTAAAAATTGTGGTTTTGTCGGTTATTGCTTAAAAGCGACGATATCAATATGAATTCTGAGTAAACGAATGATAAAGTTTTATGACTTCTGTGTAAAATATTGACCGCAATTCACGTTGACAGTTCAATTCTAATAGCTTGTCTCCCTTGATCTAGACTGTTTAAATTATTTTGTCCCGTTAACTTTGCACCTTTCTTGAGGTTCATTTTAATAAGCATGACTTCTCTGTCTGGCGTAACTTATTGAGAGAGCGCTTACTCCGTTTATACTTGTTCCATACGATATTATGTCCAAGATAAAATTATATACATAACTTCTTCATTTTGTCTTTATAGTTTGTGTACATTCGCTTTCTGGTGATGGGTTTGGGACCTTGAATATTTCGCTGAAACAGTTTGGAAGAAGGCTCAAATCTAGATAATTTTGGACTGACCTTATTATGCCTTAGTTCTGTAAACTGCTCTGTTGCCCCGATGCTATGACGTTCGGCTCTGAAGTGAACCCAAAGTTAGGTGAGTATGCAAAATATTCATTTATTTAAAAAAAAAAGTCGTAAATTATACCTGAAAATGTTTCTAAAACAGGCTATTTACATCTATGTATACTACTTGAAAAATGGATTGGTTTTAAAAGGATTAATTGAAAACGGGGTGATGTAATGATTTTAGATTTTGGTCAATATAGTTTTAATAAAAATTTAAACAAACAAAATAATTCTGACCTATAAAAAAATCCTAAAGCCCCTTTAAAATAAAAAAAAGTAAAATAAAAAAACGGGTCTAGCCTTTAAAATATCTACTGAAAAGTAAAGGATTGCAACGTATTTTAAATAAATAATCCGTAGTGCGGTGTCATGGCCTATGTCCCAAAACCTTGTGAATAATAAAATATTTTCACTGTTAAAATAGTGCTCAATACAACTTGTAGAGCGATATAGAAAAAGGTGTATAGGTATTCAGGTTGAATTCTTATCTCGTATGTGTCTTAATGTATTTTATGTTGGATGATCATTGTTCATTTTTCACTCAAAGTATTTTGAAAAACCTTTGATGACACAACATTGACAAAAATGGCAGTCTTATAGTTTCGTTTAGTAGGCCTAGTATGAAATCTTTATTCCTGACACCAAAATCTGCTCAATTTCTTATTTCTGTTTGGGCTGTTTGGAGTGGTTGGATTTTAAACCCGCCTATCAGAATCAGAAAGCATAAAATAAAACTTGTTGAGTTTGACTCACTGTGACATACCTTTTTAGTTATCAAGCAAGATTCATTAGTCTTTTCTCAGACAAAGATTCATACATTCGAATATTTTCGACATTATTTATGACAATGCTTGAGACACAGTATTTTATCAACAGAATTCTACAGCCTTATTTATTCTATCTGAAATGAACACAGTTCATGTTAGCGATGTATATTAACCCTACAAGACTTCCCAAAATCACTGAAATCAAAAAACACAACGAAAAACCTGCTTTTATAATAAACTTTTTCTCTTTCGCCATATATACCTTTGCTCTTAACAAATAACTGAGAAATTGAATTAAATAGTTTGTCACTTCTGTTGGAATAGTTTCATAGTTTTTATTGAAATTTGTGTGTACTCAGAGTAATCTGAGACTATTAATGCTATTTTCTGGACGATACATCATTTAACATGTAATTAAGAGTTATTCAAAAAACACAGTGATCATATAACCTGATATTGTTCGTTAATTTCCAACAAAGACCCTCACCTTTGTTGCTTTTCACTGGACTGGTTTTATCATATAATTAGAAGAAACCAAACCGTTATCAAAAAGATGTCATAAGACATGAAGTGTCAGTATGAGGTACGGATAGGTCACGCGGAAACCAAACTCAACTTATTTCGCGAGGGGGAGAGTGTTTGAACTGTGCAGATCTGGAACAATCTAAGTACGGTAATCATATAAAGTAAAATTTCTTGGATAATAAGTATGCTATGACTTAGCTTAACAATTTTTTTTTTATTTTAAATAGAAAAAAATCGGATTTAGAGCCGTACCTTAGATGTCAGTCAAATGCCACGTGATTGTGAAATTCTATTCATTTTCTACTGATAAAAAATTAGATTAAATTAAAAAAACAATAGGTAAGGTTTTAATAATGTTGGATTAAAATTTCGTTTATTGATAACGACTCATTGTGGGATAGCAAAGTAGGACAAAATGACAGCCTCTTTGGGTTTCGCTATTTCACAAATTTGTCATTGTTGAAATTATAAAGTAACGAGCTAGGGGATTAAACGCATCGTTAAACACTAAAGGTTTTGAGTTATCATTCTAAAAATTCTTTATCGGTCAATTCACTATCACATAGCTGGCGTCAAAATTTTTTATTTCGCCAATTTAAATTGCTTTGTGATTATATCACAGCCAGTAATAATAAAAAGCACGATAATAAAAAGATACCTTTATATTATGATCCGCTAACCATAAATCTATGTCTTTAAAGGGACAAATTCGCCATTTTCGGGGTTTGATTTGGGTTTTGAATACATGTATATAATAGTCTTTATAAGTACTAGAAATGTACGAAAATGACATAATTTCAATATATATTTCTATATGTCTTATATATGACAGAGTCTCAACAAAAGTCGAGTCGTCTTTTTAACTTTCAAACGCAGAAAATTTTTGACACTCATTTCGACGATGAGCTGTGAACAATAAGACCTCAGATACGTCCCGTTAGCGTTAAATGTCTTCTTAATATCCCCACCACACCCCTTTTTAAGAAAAAAAATATAACAATCTCAAACCAAGATTTAAGCCCTTGATAATGAATGAATCGTTCTCAGTGCAGTAGGCTACAATAGAAATTTGAACCCTCAAACTAAAACCATTGTTTCTAGGTCTTGATTGAGGTGATTTCTAGTCAATGAGAAAGTTCCCAGTAACGTATGTTCTATCAATAGTTAGTTTTCAAAAATGAAGGCAACGTCAAGTCGAACTAACCGTCAACTTGCCTCGCAGCTTGGCTTGGGTGTGAGATGAAATCGGGGGTTAAGTTACAAGAGCTACTGTATGTAACCAAGGCGATCATTGTTAAATACAGAATGCGAAGTACTTCATTTGTTATGCTTTGGGCGACTTT